AACTGCACATATGGTTGCTGGCCGGTACCATCATCAAACATGACACCATTTGGAAGACCAGCGTCGGCCATGTTCTTGCTCCCAGCTAGGAAGGGTCGAATGCGATGGTAGAAGACATGTGGATCGCAGCTCTCGTACATGCGCTCCAACAGGGCGCCTAGGTCATCGAGTCTCCCGGCAAATTTCTGAAGGCAGTCCACGACTGTCTTGCTATCGTTGTCCCTAGCAGCTTCAATAGCACGAATCATCATCGGAATGGCTGGTCCGGCTCTGGCTTCGATCGCTACAGACACTAGGTAGAACCAAGATTCGTCCATCGAGCCAGTGAAGGTCATTTGCGTCGCGAGGTTGTCCAGGGTGTCTGCAGGTTCCCAGTCGAATAGTGGTCGCCAGTTCCACAGGCAGACGGCTGCAAAGGTTGCGACTGGTGGGAGCTCCAAGTGTCTACATGTCTCCATGAACGGTATCGAGATGGATGGTGGCACAATCTGAACGGGGTCGTTAGCTATGCATCGCTTTGAAATGTTTGGATTCTCAAGGCTTACATCAGATGGTCTGTCACCGCCCCAAATGTATGCATGGGCGATGAACCCCAAGATGGAGTAGGCTCTCCGCCATTCAGCTTCTGTGAGGAGAAATCGGGTTTCTAGTACTGGTAATGTGTCGACTATCCCACGTAGCCGCTTGGCAAGGATCAAGCTTTGGAAGTTGCGCACGATGGTCTCCCACGGTTGGTAGTAGCGATCCGGCAGAACATCGAGCGGTATCTCATCGGGCAAGAAGCCGTTCTGAGGTGAGATGCCGTAATCGGCCAACTGAGGCAGAGTCGGAAGCATTGTGATGGTAGGCGGAAATAGAGTTTGGGTGTATTTAACTGTTAGAGGGATGGAGGCGTTCTGTTGTGCTCGGTGGTCGTGGGAAGCAGTCGGAGTAGGTGTCGCGTGATGGAATCGGAGTCGGGGAAGGAGTACAACTCGACTAACGGCCGTGGAGGTAGTCGCCACCAACTATCACCCCTGGTTTGATTGATCAAGGGATTCCCAAATCTTTAAAGGAACGACCAGCGGAGGGTGGGGTAGAGATGAACTAAATCCGCGGTACTTGTGTGTGGGCGAAAGGAATCTAGGCGTGTCTGGTAAGTTGTCTCGGAGGTGGAACCCAGGCACCAAACGAGTTGGTTCCGAGTTTGGGGAGCCCAGTGCTAGAGGGGTCTTTGCGGAGACGCGGACAGTAGGCTAAAGACACCTGGTGAAGAGCTGACTCGATGAAGCAACTGCAACACGAACAGTAGTAAAATGGTCATGGAAGTGGCGTGAGAGAACAATGAGCATTATAACTGCCTTCCGGCCGCGGCTGCGAACCTTGGTGGATAACGTCAAAGAAGCAGGCCGAAACGCGTAGTGCTCAGTAATTGCCTAAGAGAAATCTGCGAGCCGAGTGCTCCGCGCAATCGGTTTCGTGGGCGTCACTTGGGTCACATTAGCAATCAATTCACTCATGGATTCCATGATTCTACTATAGCGGAGGTAGCGCGGCTGGCCGACGGGCTACTAAGTGCCTCCACACTAGCGTAGCTGCCCTGCATGAAACGGCTGGCTGCCGAAGTCGGGCAATCGGCCGTTGGGGAGCAACACGGGTTAAACCCGCAAATAGAGGCCGGTGCCATAGAATGTGAATGCTGAATGATGGTTTTTGCCTCTTGTGATGAGATCACGACGCGACAACCGAATCTTCGAGGACGGAATCAAGCAGCCAATCCAGCCTCACGCACCGTCGCCAACCCCGCAAAATTCCCGTTCCTGTACGCCGACGCTACTGCAGTGGCATTGAGCTAAGAGTGCAGATCAGGAACCGCATGTTGGCTGTGGAGTTGTGTGTACATACATAAAATGAAGTTGTGCGGATTGCGACGATTAGTATTGCTGTGTACTGGTGTGGAATGCGACGGTGGTGATAGTTTAGATGGGAACACACTAACGCTGCAACATCGATGAAGAAAGCTGCAAGAAACAGCCGCGGGGTGGATGATGAACACCACCAGTGGACATCTGCGCCCGTGTCTTTCCGATATTCTACGACTACTGGCCCTCTCTCCAAGGCATCCTTTCAACACCCCTCACCCACCTCCGTCTCCTCCACTCGCCCTTGCGACTCGGTGCATGGCTCTCCCACGCTCGGCGCAATACCTCCTTTTCTTCATCTGCAATATCCCTGCTGCTTCCCTTTGACCCGCTCCGTTTCTTGAGTTTCGCCTTTGCGGCACTGGCCTTCTCTCCTTCGCTCTCAAGGACTTCGTAGTGCAGATCCGTCACCCATCGCTCACCCTCGACCTCAACCTCTACGCCTGTAACACAGCGATCCTCAACCCATTCACGAGACAGCAGATCGAGCGTCCACTTCTTGTCGCTCCAGCGCCAGCCGCGGGGTGGAAGTACATCTTCGAAGAACGGGGTACCGCGGGGTCTGTCACCGCTGATCCTAGAAGGCGACAATGGGGAGTAGGGCGATGGTGAGAACATGAAGCCTTCATACTCGCCATGCTCGTCATGTAGGGCGCGGTGTTGAAGTTCGAATACCTCTACCTCACGCGTCTCCTGGGATGTCTCCAGTTCGATGTCTGCGCGTGAGATGGTCAGGAGGAACGATCGACTTTCATGTTCTGCGTCCGAAATGAACTTTTCGGTCTCGGGCATTGTAAGGAGGTCTTGAACGCTGGGATGCCCTAACGCTGTCAAAGTGTATCCAAGGACGAGGAATATTGCGCGCCACGGTAGTAGGTGCGCCGATATGAATAGCAGCACCGATACAACGAGCAGGATGAGGTAGAGCATAGATGAGAGGTTCTCGTTCTGGAAGTTGGTGAGCGGCGTGATGAAGCTCAGTACAGCATCGTGGCCACGGCTAAAGTCCTCCATGCAGTTTTGCAGATCGCGCATGTTGCGGAAAAAGTCCTTGCTGAACTCAGGCGCAGGCTTGATTGTCTTCGCATCGGCCAACGGTGGTCCTCCCAAGCTTCCTCTCCACAGATCGCCGTCGATATCTACCGTATTCGTCATGGGCTCCGGATGACGGGTCAGAAATGCAGGAACCATGACGAAGAACATGCCACATGCCAACGGGAGTACAGGTGCAAGATACGGATTGACGCATACGAAGGTCCAGACGAAGAGAAATGAGAGGGTTTGCGTAGGCTGAGCCCAGGTGAACAGCCGAATGAGGCGATTTTGAGCAACGAAAGCAACGCCGATGCGCGAGTTGAAGCGACGGAAGTTGGACGACATGGTGGGGATGCTGAAGTTGGGTCGAGCAACATAGCTTCGAGAGCGCCGGTCCTTGACTTGCGGTGTGTTCCCGCTTGGTGTCGAGGCTGAATCCGGAGGCGAGCCGTCAGAGAGGTCTTCCGAGGGCAGGACTTGTGCCAGTAGCCTATATAAATCAGCTCAACATGTCGTTTATTCACTACTTCTGTATTCGAGGGCCGTCCGTGATGTTCAATCTGTGCACCAACACCTGGGTATCGGATAACTTACATGTTCATCATCTTATCTCCCACCCTACTACTCGACTCGCGACTTATGTTATCACCCAGCGACTCCAGTTTGTCTTTGAGCCTGCTAGCCGACAGACGCCGCGAATGAGGCCTCTCCGTGGTGGGCGTGCCATCGTTCGATGCATGCTGTACTTGGACGACTGGAATGGGCGTGCCGCGGTTCACAAGCGAGTCCGCGTTGTCTGAACCCATGGCGGGACCTGCAGTGTGATTGTCTTGTTCCTCTGCTCAGGCAGGCAACCAGATTAAAGTGAATCGAGGCTGAAGTGGCGTGTTGGTCTCAGACTGTGATTAGGGAAGTCACACTTGTGTTGCGTGGTGTTCGAGGTAGGTGTGTCACATGTGGCTGAGTCGCGAGTTCCTAATCCGTGCAGACGTCGAGCAACTGCCTAGACAACATCCAGATGGTAAACTGTCCCTGCTCTTTCGGTTCCGTTATTTCAAAAGCGCATCCTCAATTTGGCGTGGAGGGTCCGAAAGCAGGTGTTGGTGCAGCAAACGGATGACGCACGCGCATGTGAACTCGTGGCGTCGAGCTTGCGCCGTGGTACGTTGTTGCTTCCGGCGTTTCCCCACATGTGGCCGTGCACGTGCGCGATTGGGATGGTCAGGGACAAACAACCTTTGGGCTTGGAGAACCAAGAAGCTCTTGGAGATCGCTATTACATTGTGAAGTCTCCGTTACCATTTAGTGGTGAGACGAAGAATCAAGACTGCGGAGAGCTGCGGAGTTCCCGCTGTCATGTTTCGGGGCCGTAACCTCCCCTACATAGATAGCTTCCAGAGCATGCACGATTGAGGGTTCAGCATGCACATGCTGAAAGCCGTGCCATGTGCAGGCGGGCTAGGGTAGCTTGGGTGGTGCAATCATGGTTGGCAGGTGATGGTCGTACTGCCTGGTGTACAGCTACTCTGGACAGGAGCGTGGCAGCAGCGCTGAGATGACAGCGAGGCAGTAGGGCCGTTGGGCGATGCGTCCGTTTCCTGGGAGAGGAGAGTTGTTTTGATAATACCCTATTCGCCGCAAGAGGCAGATATGGACAGGGGCCGTGGGTCCTTGTCAACTAGACAACCCTAGTGCCTTGGTGGCTTTTGCGGGCGACCCTCATTGTGACTTTGACGAACGTCGACTATCGTGCACCTCCCCTTTGCCGCAACTCAGCGCCGTGCTTTTTGCGCAGCCCATTGCCTGAGCCTGAATCCTTCCGATAGCCGTTCGCTCGACTCATTACCGACCGCCGATCGCTTTCACCGCTGTAGCCGGGCCCATTCGACATGTCGGCATAGTCTCCCTCGGTGCCCAAGCTCGACGCTTGGAGACCATCCCGGCTTTTCGAAAGAGGGAGACTTTTTGAAGCATCTCGTGACAGCAGAGCGTCCATTGCCGGCGTCGTAATCACGAGCTGTGGAGCTGGCCATGGCGACGCAGCCGCGAACTGCAACTCGGACCATGGAGACGACCAACGTGCCCGAACGGTCAGGGTCCAACATGTCGGAGGACTCTAGCGGCTCCTCAGGTACGAAAAAGCATTAGGGTGGCTGTCGCATTACGCGACGAGGTGTCATAGCTAACCCGCGCTGCAGAAGACCGCGTACGCAAGTTCCAAAAGACGGGCGACCAGGGCAGCCGCCTGCGCAAGACGAGTGCATCCAATGCCATAAGCGCAGCCCGCCCGCTGCCTTCCATCAACAACAACGCCGCAGGACGGGGCAGGGCCAAGGTGCCGTTGGGCCCCCGCGAGCGGCCCCAGGACTTCACCAAGCAGAGGTACGACGCCGCAGCTATGGCGACGACAACACTGACGCGTGATGCAGCAGAATGGCAAGCGGCGCCAGCGTTGCTTCCCTCGAGACGCGCTCCTTCCTGCCCACGCCCGCGAATGAGACGGCGGCCACGCGTACCGTCCCCTCGAACCCACGCTTCAGCTTCACCAAGCAGCCGCAGCCCGGACCTGCAAAGGAGGAGCCCGCTGAGAGCACCGGCTCGTACGACTTCCTGCCCGCCGTCAACTTCGACGACTTCGCCAACAGCCTCGCGTATGAGCCCGCTCTGAGCGACTTCCCTGCGCCTGGCACGTTTAAGGCCAACGTGCCTGCCAACACGACCACGCCCAGTAACAACAACATGCCGTCATTCACGGGAACGCCCACCGACAAGCCGCCCACACGCAGCAGCGACTTCGTTCGCCGCTTCAGCCAGTCCACCGCGAGGAAGCCAAGTGGCGCCTCTACCGCATCGGGCTCTGACACGAACATGCCAGCGCCCCAGAGCAACATGGCCATTCGTTCACGTCGTCAAAGTCAATTCCCCGCCCAGGCACCCCCAAATCCAGCTGCCCGAGCACCACGGAAGAGCGTTGGCCCTGGAATGCTGCCTTCAAGTAGCTTCGAGCGCCAGGAAATGGACAGACTGGCCAACGACAACACAATGCCCCAGCTCGGCCGTGCGCCGTCACTGAACAAGGGGAACAGGCGAGAAACACTGTCTGCAAACATCAACACAGCTCCTACCACTGGAGTACCCAGGCTCCCAACTGCCGCACGCAACGCCAAAGCAAAGTCCTTACAACCGCCTTCGAGACAGCAACCGGGCCACCTGACTGTCTCATCCATGACCCCCGATCCAAGTTCAATGCCTTCCCCTGGCAGGTCTCCCGCTGCGCAAAGATCGTACACACCTTCGTCCTCCTCGAGCAAACGGCAGTCGACGGCTCCTCACATCTCTGGGCTTGGCGCGCGAACCATCAGCCCCACAGACGCTCGGCGGCTCAGAAGACTGTCCATGAACCCAAATCATCCGCCAGGCGGCCCAGTGGGTCCTCCCACTCCCCAGGGCGATCAGACATTCGACGAGCGAGCCTTCAGCCAGTCCCCAGCCTTGGCTGTGGGAGGCAGCATGACACCATCTTCGGCGCGCGCGACGCCCGAGCAGAAGCGCAAGTCCTATGCTTCTGGTATATCGCTCTCGTCGAACTCGAGCTTGAACTCGTTGAAGGTTGGTCCTTCATCAATACCCTTGCGCACCAATACCGCTCCGACAAGCTCTCGTCTGCCTGCGCCAAAGCCACGAAATGTGCAAAGCTCAGCTGGTGGGGAGCAAGAAGAGGTGCCCCCTGTACCTGCCATACCAAAAGCGTTTGAATCTCCCAAGGACCCCGAGCGCAGCAGCTTTGCATTCACAACACCAAATTCAAAGATGAGCGCGCCTCCTCAAGCACCTCAAGAACCAGTGTCAACACCCGACACGCAACGAGCCGAGCCTCGGCAGAACGAGACCCTGGAAGGCGGTCTTATGAACAGGAGCACAGGGTCCATCAGACATCGACGGGGACTAACTGTTGGAGCTGGTACCGAAGGTGAGAGGACGCCCACGGTACAGCAGTCCAGCAAGAAGAACCTACAGCCAATTAGACTGCCACCGCTGAATCTGCTGCCGCTCGGCACACCGTTCAACAATCGGATATCGTCTTTCCCTGCGCCCTCTGGTGAAGTGGCCGAGGGTAATGTAACGCCACCGCCTAAACGTGCTGCCAATAAAACGCCCAGTACGCCCATGACAGCCTCCAAGGCGAACTTCTTCGCAAGGAACAACCACCACGACGAATACCACAAACACTTGCGTAGCAGTAGCTCTGCCTTCAACCTGCGTGCTGCAGACTCGTCGCTTGATACCCACCCGAACATTGGTTCGATTCCCGTTCCGACCTTGAACCCAACACGTCAAGCCACCACGCCTTTCTCATCGAATTCGTTACCAAAGGGTAGCGGGGAGTTCGCTCGATTGCAGCCGCGACCTAGCGGCGAATACAAATCCTCTGCGAGGGATGTGGAGATGCAGAGTATGGTTGCTGGCCCGCGGCCATTACAAAAGAAGAACACGTCGGATTCAATACAGACGTCCACGTCAACCGAACCTGAAACGCCTTCTTCTGGCTCATCTTTGCGGCGAAAGCTCAGCCTCAGTGGCTGGAGAAGAGCTTCATCTAAAGCTGCAACACATCAATCGCAAAATCTGCAGGTTCGAAAACCGGGCCCTCAGGGCGGTGAACCAAGACAGCAACCCCAGCCTCCCAAGCACAGCGAAATGCCTCCACCGCGGCTACCTGCGTCTGCTACTTGGAGCGGTGCTATTGGCACGAGCCCAAGTCCCGCCAAGAGTGGGAGTCGACCATCCCTTGATTTCGGGCGCCGCAAGCCCTCTGCAACAGCGGTTGCTAGTGATACAGAGGTTGAGAAATTAAGTGCTCGTAAGCCCGTAGGGAATGCCGGAACACGTGCGGTATCAGGCCACACAGACCAGGCTAATAGCCAGGCGACACAGAAGTCAACGTCGATCTTGACACCGATGCAGCGGATGCTGGGTACGAAGAGCTCGTCGAACATGCTCAAAGCTCGTAATCTCGATTCAAACCTCGATAGAGATGACATGTTGGCCGACGAAGAAATGAAGAAGCTTGCTTCGAAGCGGAAAGACTTTGAGCATGCGGCGCGCGATGTCGACGAGCTCCGTAAGCGCGCCACGGCCAAGGAGCGTGTCAGTCCCAGTGATGCTGTGCGCATGGCCAATTTGAACATATTCGAAAGAGGCGAGATCATCGACTACAAGGAGGTCTACTTCTGTGGAACGAAGAACGCCAAGAAGCACGTTGGCGATCTTAATGCGCAGACCGCAAACTTTGGCTATGACGACGAACGCGGCGATTACAACATCGTCTTGGGAGACCATCTCGCATATAGATACGAAGTTGTTGATGTTCTTGGCAAGGGCAGCTTCGGACAGGTTGTGCGTTGCGTAGACCACAAGACGGGAGGGCTCGAAGCGATCAAGATCATTCGTAACAAGAAACGGTTCCATCAGCAAGCTCTGGTCGAAGTCAACATTCTCCAGAAGCTACGTGAATGGGTAAGAAAGATCCATTCAGTGTACAGAGTAAGCTTGCTAACGATATCCAGGACCCCGATAACAAGCACAGCATGATCAACTTCACCCAGAGCTTCTACTTCCGTGGCCATCTTTGCATCTCGACCGAGCTTCTTGGCATGAATCTGTACGAGTTCATCAAGGCACACGAGTTCAAGGGCTTCTCCCTACGCCTTATCCGTCGATTCTGCAAACAGATGCTGGCTTCGTTGACCCTCTTGAAGACCCAGAAAGTCATCCATTGTGACTTGAAGCCGGAGAATATTTTGCTTGCGCATCCGCTTCACTCGGAAATCAAGGTCATCGATTTCGGATCCAGTTGCTTCGAAACCGAGAAGGTTTATACTTACATCCAGTCGCGATTCTACCGATCGCCGGAGGTCATCCTCGGCATGAGCTACGGTCTGCCGATAGACATGTGGAGTTTGGGTTGCATCCTTGCCGAGCTGCTCACCGGTTACCCCATATTCCCTGGAGAGAACGAACAGGAGCAGCTTGCTTGCATCATGGAGATATTCGGACCTCCAGAGAAGCACCTCATCGAGAAGAGCAGCAGGAAGAAGCTATTCTTTGACTCCCTTGGCAAGCCCAGAGTCACTGTTTCCTCAAAGGGCCGCAGGCGACGACCCAGCTCGAAGACACTGCAACAAGCCCTGAAGTGTGACGATGAGGCCTTCCTTGACTTCATCACGCGCTGTCTGCGTTGGGATCCCGAACGTCGAATGAAGCCCGATGAAGCGATGCAGCATGAGTTCATCACTGGCGTACGCAAAACCAATCAACAACGACGGCCATTCAACGCCCCGTCCGGCACGTCTTCACCTGCGAAGCGAATGCCGCCCCCACAGTCGGCACAGCCACGTGTCCGACCTCTTCCCGAGCCTCCCGTGTCTAGCTTCAGAAACGGGACCGCAGCCAGCGGACAACGTCAGGTGTCGAACAGCAACTCACCTGTGAAAACATCTGCTCCCGCGAGACGCCACTCCACCGTGCAAGGACTTGCACCTGGAACAGCAGGTACTAAGCGTGCAGCAAACGGAGCGCCACTCAATGGCGCAGGTGGAAGTGGACTGCCGCGCGCAGCACAGCGCAGTGTGTCAGGCAAACCAGACCTCGCTTCGGCGGCGGCTATTGCCAGTCTCGTAAGTTCAGAGCATCCCGGCCAGCTTGATATCGATGAGTAGCTAACAAGGCTTCAGAAAACGCACACATAACCTTACGAAACCGAGAGATATTCTCAATATAGATTAACGATTACTGGGCATCTCATGAGGTTTCTACTATCTAATATGGGGTCTACCCCGCTGGCGGCTTCGGGGTTGGGGCTGATCCGGACTTTTGTGCAGATGTGGTTGCGAATGTTTATGTTTTCCCATTCAGCGACGTTATACCCCCGAAAAAGTCTCTCTTTGGAGCATATTTTCAACAAGGTGTATTGATTGGTTTATTGGATAGGGGGGAGGATATTGAATCTTGATATGAACAGCATTCTAGGGCGTTGTAGCAAGATAGATATCTTCTAGATATCGTAATGTGAGGGGTGCTGGGTCGTATGGAGTCGAGTATAAGCATTGCCCATTTGCTTGAATGCATCGGTGATGGCGAGCTGCAGCCTTATGTGATGTCAGTGCGTTATCGATAAGGGTGGTCGCGAATTTGACAATGTTGGCTTTCGCACTGCAACCATCAGCACTCGACTACCTTTCTTTGATACCCCCGTTCTTCCTTCTTTACATTCTTTAGACATGCCTCGCGACCCGCTGATCGGCCTCGTCGGCAAGCCTTCGTCCGGCAAGTCGACTACACTGAACAGGTGCGCAATGCCCCTCCACCCCTCTTTCGCGGATCTTTCTAAGATGGATTTCATGGCAGCTTGACAGATGCTACCTCCAAAGTCGGTCCGTACATGTTTGAATACGCTGGGAGCTATGTAGGCTGATTATGAGTAGGTAACTTCCCGTAAGTCATCCCTCCTAGATCCATGGATTGCGATAGCGCAGCGCACACCGCGCTCGATTCTCCGTATCGTCAGCTCCTAATGCTACAACCAGATTCACCACCATCGACCCCCAGCGCGCCATCGGCTACCTCCAGATCGAATGCCCATGCGCGCGCCTCGGTCTTGCTGATCGCTGCAAACCCAACTACGGCGGTTGTGTCGAAGGACGGCGATCGGTCCCTATAGAACTTCTCGATGTCGCCGGGCTCGTACCAGGTGCGCACATGGGAAAGGGCCTCGGAAACAGGTTCTTGGACGACTTGCGACATGCAGATGCGCTTGTACACGTGGTGGACGTGAGTGGGACGACCGATGCGGAGGGCAAGGCGACAAGAGGCTACGACCCAAGTCAAGACATTGTCTGGCTGAGGAGCGAGATCGTGCGATGGATACAAGGCAATCTTATGGAGAAATGGGGTAGTATCAAGAGGAGGCATGTCGCTATCAAAGCCACGGCAGTCGAAACACTACAGAACCAGTTCTCAGGTTACGGATCCACATCCAGCGTCGTTGCGCGCTGTCTCGATCGCCTTGCCCTCAAGGAGCCTCTACAAGACTGGTCAAACGAGACTATCGAACGAGTCGTAAACGCCTTCACCGACGAGAAATTTCCTACCGTCATCGCCCTCAACAAGATCGATCATCCCGACGCGGACAAGAACATTGCGAAGATTGCGAAACAGGTAGATGCCAAGAGCATAGTGCTTTGCAGCGCGATATCTGAAGTCTTTCTGCGGAAACTAGCGAAACAGGGCTTCATCAAATACACAGAGGGTAGCGAGTTCGTCGATACAAGAGAAGACCTGATTGAGCAGGGTGACCCAGATGGAGGCGGACTGAAGGAGTTGGACGAGAAGCTCACAACTCGAATCGAGAACCTTAAAGACATGGTCCTTTACCGCTTTGGCAGCACAGGCGTTGTACAAGTCCTGTCGCGAGCGGCAGAACTACTCGGTCTGGTTCCAGTCTTCCCGGTTCGCAACATCCACGCGTATACAAGTGGTAGTGCGAGCTCGACGGCTGTCTTTAGAGATTGTGTGCTTGTGAAGAAGGGTAGCACAGTGGGTGATGTGTATAGGAAGGTTATGGGCGACGCGCCGATGGCGTATGTCGAAACGGAGGGTGGAAGGAGAGTGGCGGAGGATGATGTTGTTGCTGTGGGAAAGAACGATGTGAGTATATGATGAGCATGCGAGCAGACATATCGCTAACAAGGTGCAGATATTGAGCTTCAAGGTAGGAAGGGCATAATTGAGTCTGGTCATGATCTAGTTGGGATTACATCCGAGATGCGCAAAGTGTCTGGCAATCGATGAACCTGAGCAGTATAACTTGTCTCAGCCTGATGGACCTTGCTGAGCTTGCATTGATGAAACTGTGACTGTATAATTCTGTGCATCTCCAGATAGCTAGTCTAATGGACATCTATCGAGTAAGAACAATTGCGCGTCGCGTTGTTGTGACGATGTTCTCTATAGTTCGCGTTTCCCCGCTACACACTAGCATCGCAGCCACACACATCCTCAGCCAACAAAAAAAGGTCCAAAATCCATTCTCCCCTCGAGCGCTCACACGTCTGAGCACCAACGCCCAGCAAAAAGTAATCCTCCTCCGGGAAGGCTCGAACTTCCAACCTCCTGATAACTCGCTACTTATGTAGTAACAGTCAGACGCGCTAGCCAATTGCGCCACAGAGGATTATTGAAATGCGCTGTTGCACTTCTTGATGGAGATTTTCCAAAATTGCATCGTACTAATTGCCTGGCAAACCTCACTTTTTCGCTTCTCGGGAGACTTGGAGCGAGCAAACATCGGCAGCATCGGGGATATGTATGTTGTAGTGGGGGATGATGTGGGTCTTGCTCGCTTACCGGAGCATAGGACGGCAGTGATGCTGTGATAAGCGTTGTATTGTAATGTAATTTGGTTGATAGTATTGCTACTGAATTGCTCTGTTACGGTGATGGAAGTGGGTATAATGTGATATGAACGAATTGCCGCCGTACTCATCGCCTGGTATGAGTCCAAAGAAGCACCTGCTCCGCGCGCTATGCAGTAAATCATGTGTTTAGGAAAATCATGAGTCCAGGCCCCTCCTTGGCCATTGCCTCCTCGATACGTGCCTAGTTACTCTTCCGGCCTCGTTTCTTCTTCTGATCTTTTGAAGGTGTCTCGCCCGCTGCGGCTCCTTCGATCTTGAATTCGTCGCTCTCGAGGTCGACAACACCCCGCAGGATACTGTACGTAAAGAAGTCCTTTGTGTAGCATGTTACCCCATCCTTGATTAGCTTTTGTGCCTCCACATCGTCTCCATCTTCAGCGAAGACGATAGTATCTCCTGCCTTCTTCAACTTTGTCGCACCAGTCGTTACACTTTTCGCACCGGCGGCTTTGCAGACCGCTTCAATGTCAGAGAAAGATGCGTATCTCGTTTTGAGGCTTTTCGTAAAGTGAACAGCGAAGTCGGTGAAGGGTGTTTGCGGCTTTTCGAGGATGTCGTCAAGCTTGATTTTCCACTCCTCTTCTTGCTTGGGTATGGATGGCTTGAAAGCGGAAACGGCAAGCAGGCGCTTAGCTGATGCAGATTCCAATAGCCATTGATCTGTGACGATAGGAATGCCGCGCGCGATTGCGTAAAGTACTTTTGTTGTCTTTTGGAGATCACCATCTCGTACGCTTTGATGGATTAGCATGGTGACACAACAGCAAAGACAGTGCAGTACTTACCATAGTACATTGAAGTCATCAGCCAGATTCTCTACAAATGCTCCGCCTTGTTTCTTCAGGAACTTGACAGCCGCACTTGCTTTCGTAATGGTGGAGTTGCTGCAGGCTACACGGGAAGCTGGGCCATCGTAGTCCTCTCTAACTGTAGTAGTAGATATGGATCGTTGAGAACCCCTCTGCGATCGTGGTGGGGCGGACTGTTCGGGCTTAGCAACGTCGACGTTGCTCAGGCGACTGTCTTCTGTATCGCTATCGCTTGTTTTGGCGCGCTTGCTAGGCCCAGCAAATGCCTCGTTGTCAGACTTGGATGCATATGCCTCCGCCTCATCGGCGAGGGACCGTGTTCGTTTCTTAGCTGATCTCGACGGTATGTGTACTCGCGGTGAAGATGTTCTAGCATTCAGAGGCAGCTGTGGTTGCATCTGATTCTGTGACTCGCCAGTACGGGCGGTCGAGAAAGCCTCTGCTTCCTGAACGTCTGCTTCGTAGGAATCTGCAACATTTCCTGTACGGGCAGCGGTTGGGGTCTCCTGGATCACGGTAGTCGATCGTTGATTCGAAAGCTGAGGGGTTGCGCGAGGTTGTGATTTTGCTACATTGACAGTGGGTTCTTTCGTATCATCGCCCTCGCTCTGGGCTTCTTCAGGTGTCACCGCGATTCTCATAGCGTCAGCGGCCGATGAGTTGACCTGGACCTCCGAGTCTGTCCACTGACAAGTCAGGTAAGATTCAGCATTTGGAACATGGATCTGATCGCCATGACGCAAGAATATTGTTTCTGAGCGTCCGTCGCTCTGTGGTTGCAACTCGTATCTAGCAGCCGATGACAGACTGTTGGCGTGTGCTTGGCCAGGCAATATGCTTAATGAGGCTGTGATGGCTTCCAGCTTGACCCCACATGGCCCAGAATCTGCTATAGTCAGTGGATGTCTCAAGCCTCTTCGGTGGACCTACCGATGCGACCGAGCTCAGGTACGACTGCGGGCACTGCTATAATGCGAACCACGCCAGGATGGACTTTGTTGACGATGTGAACTGTTCCTGTTTCTGGCAGGGCATACTCCGAGGAGCCCGGCGCTCCCGTGGTATGTGACGAGATCAATGTCCACATCCTGGGCCGGTTGACGCGTCGTGGCGGTTGCTTGATCGCGAATGTTGGATTTAACGCGTGGTCACGTTTGCGGAAGGCGCAGCTGGGCTAGCGGTGACGCGCATAATAGGTGGGGCCATCTGCTGATTCGCCACTCACGCTCACGCTGACCTTCCCTTTGTGCCTGCCAGCCGTACGCCGCTACCTCCTCTAGTCACAGCAAGGATATGGATTCGAAGGACGATACCTGCACAACGGTAACTCGTGTACTTAATTTGGTTGCTGTGCATCTCAACTGCCGTTGGTCCCAGTTCTCACGAACACCGCCGCTCAACAGTCTCAAAGCTCAGACAGTCGACGATGGAGAACAATAGTAAGGAATTCGCGCTATCTCATCACAACCATCGCACACTGCAAACAGCGCATCCAGCAATTATCCAACTCACTGTGAGCGACTCTGCGACTCACTGTAAGACAGGAGAAGAGCACCAGCGGCGAGCATTGGTCAAGCGTTTACAGACCGAGGCGAGTATCCGGACGCATGCAGGTGAAGGGACCACGGAACAATAGTAAGGGCTTCAAGTAACTCTAAGACCTCATCTTCGCCTTCGCTTTGGCTAGCTATAGTTGTGAGTGGAGATATCGAGACAATCGCATGCTGCCGCTGCTATTATCCGCTCGGGATCCGAAAGCCATCACTCCCCGTCACTTTCTCGATAACCCTGCATGCCACCAATCTGCAGCGCAGAACCAACCTTGCCATCTAGCTATTATATAACTCTGATATAAACGATACAGCTTCGACTCTCGTCGCTGCAGGACTCCTTCATTCCTTCTTCAACCTCTAGTACTTTCTATCTTTCTTCCAAATTGTCACCTCCAGACCCAACTCCGTCAGACTCTGTTCCTCCCCTAGACCTACGGCCAAACAGCACTACCTCTATAACCTCCAAAGACTGCTAGCAGTAGGAGCCGTTATGGCTGACGACTTCCACGCCGTTGACCTTCCGTCCAACTTCCAGGTTCCGCCCGGCTTCGAGCCATGGACCCAAAACTTCACCCTCATCGTGCCGGTTGTGACGGGCGACGAATCCAAATGGGCAGTCACCACAGTCAACATGGCGGATGTCAACTATTGGAGCGTGAACACCGCCCGCCTTGCTACCAGTAATGGGGTAGGTCTTGGTGTATCGATCATGCTTCTGGTTGTTCTCGTCCTCTTGACCAAGGCTGAGAAGCGGAAGTCTTTCATCTTCTACCTCAACACCGCTTCCCTCTTCACCAACACCATCCGCTGCCTGCTTCTCGCCATGTATCTTAGCAGCACCTGGAACGACCCTTACAGCGATGTTACCCCATATTCACCACCTCTGACTAATGTGGACTGGGCTATCTACGTCTTAATCAACGTTTTCAGTCTTATCGTCGCTATCCTAGTCTACGCTTCACTCAGTCTCCAAGTCTGGATCGTATGCGTCACTACACCACCTCTACATCGCACCATCATCATGGGTGCAACCACCACAGTGGCCTGCGCTGCTTTTGGAGTCAAGTTCGCTTTCGTCTACCTGAATACCAAATACGCATTGGACAATGTGTCACCCGATTCTCTGGCAGCACTGGACGGGATGACCTACATCATGCAAACTATATCCATCTGGTTATTCAGTTGCGTGTTCACCTGGAAATTGGGACATGCCATCCTTCAGAGGCGCCGTCTCAACATGCCTAGATTTGGACCGATGCAGATCGTCTTCATCATGGGCTGTCAGACAATGTCAATACCAGGTTCGTCTCTCTTTGCCACGCTGAACACTGACATTTACTAACGTACGTGTAGCTATTTTCACATCTCTCCAATTTGTTGAGAGCATCCCCCCTGAGATTGTCTCCCACGTTCTCACAATCGTCTGCATCTTCCTTCCCCTCTCGGCTATGTGGGCGGGTGTTGCCCACGATCAAAACGCTGCTCCCAGAGGCCTACGATCCACCAAGAACAAGCTCCATGGCAAGCCCGCAACGTCTACTTTGACGGACAGTTCCACCGCCTGTGGAAATAGTTCTCAGATGAGCTCGTGGTCGGATACCATGAACAAAGATCATATGAGCTCTGCCACTGCTCCCACATACCGTGACCACCGCACGAGCGTCGAGGACAACTGCATCCGGGTAGACCGCAAATTCGGTTTCTCGCACGAAGACGCCGCGGACCGAGTCTGATAGCGCGCAGCTGCATACCTGGCATGTGTCGACTCCTTTGCAGCGCATCGGAGATCATGCTTGATGGAGAATACTGAGGGTGCATGGGGGGTTATTATGGAGCGGCACGAGTAAACGGAGTCGGCGCACATTGCGTCGCGTCTGGTGCTCATGAAATCGGCAACGTACCCGGGGACTGTGCGTATCCCAACATTTGTGACACCGGGGACATGATTGGAGATGATATGGATCGCAGTTGGTGGATCTCCTATGTACGGCTGCCGCGTGTTACCTTATCTGTATCCTTAGCCATTTTTTACTTTCTCCAGCACCTTCTCTTAGCAACTAATACACTCGCTGCAGACCTTCCGCTCGCATTCATTATTGTGATGATAGACTTTGTGTTCGCGCTAGGTCAGGGTGTCATGGTAATTTGGTGCAAGTATCGGCAATGTGTTACGACAGCTATTTAATATCAGTGACGCCATGTCAAGCGCTGCAATGACAAGGACTATCGTCGGACTCCGTGCTTGAACATGAACCAATCGCTGTTAACCCCGATGCCGTATCGTAGTCTCGCGATAAGGACGCACATCCCTAGCTACGATTTACGGCTATGGAAGCATCGCTCTCCGAGCGTCGTGCATGTTCCAGTCTATGATGGTACCGGCATTCGTCGTGAGGAAATGCTTTAGGAGTCTGAAGTTACGAGCAGCTTCGTATAGGGCAGCCCATTGGGTCTAGCGCAAAGCCCAAACCGATTCGGCTCATCGGGGGCAGGCACCCCGCTTGGTCTCTCTACGCCAATGATCACCCACGCCGACACGTCGCTCAGCGTCTGTTATGCGACTCATCGATGTCAGGACACTCGAGCTTAGATGGTTCAATGATGACTCTGTCCCAAAATACGCCATCCTTTCTCACACCTGGGGCGGAGATGAAGTCAACTACCAGGAATACGTCTGGATTAGCAGAGCTCGAGCACTGTCCGCTTCTACCAACTTAGCGTCGGCATCAACAGGCAGTCAGGATGCGCGAACTACACTGATGTTGGCGTTGGAGATGATGATTCGAGGCAGTTCCGAGATGCCTTTGGGAGGTTTATCGGAGAAGGACCTCATGACGCGCGTCGGCTACAGCAAGATTGTGAACGCAGCTGAGCAGGCGCAAGGCCAAGGCTGTCACTATCTTTGGGTTGACACGTGCTGTATTGACAAAACATCAAGTGCGGAGCTACAAGAGGCCATTAATTCCATGTATCGCTGGTACCGAGATGCGGAGGTCTGCATTGTCTATCTAGGCGACATTCCCAAACCACGGTCAAATGGCTACACAACCGCTTCCGAAATTGCAAGAGATTCACTGAAGTCTTCTCGGTGGACACGTCGCGGTTGGACCCTACAAGAACTGATTGCACCGATTCTATGTCGCTTCTACTTCCAGGACTGGACCTTGATGGGCGAGAAGGTGGAGTTTCTGGAGGAGCTATCTGACGCCACGGGTATACCAGTTCGTGTACTCGACGATAGAAGTACTGTTAGTGAGTTCTCCGTTGCGGAGAGGATGTCTTGGGCAGCACATCGGCAAAGTACTCGTGTCGAAGATGTTGCTTACTGCTTGCTCGGCCTCTTCGACATTCACATGCCCTTACTTTATGGAGAAGGTGCGAAGGCTTTTATTCGCTTACAAGAGGAGATCCTAAGGACTACTGACGACTACTCCCTATTCTCCTGGTGCGCAACTTTATCGGAGCGATCAATGTATCGGGGTTTGCTCGCGCGCCATCCTGAAGAGTTCCGACACTGCGGTTCTATCGAGCGCGAGAATGTCGTCTCTACTTTCCCCATAGGCCTTACCCCCATCGGTCTACGTGTGCAGCTCGAGTTCTTACCTGATCCCAAGGACAAAAGCCGTGTCCTAGCTATGATACGATCAAGCAACCAGGTAAACCAGCGCATAGCCATCACATTGAAGTGCCTGGATGGTGGAATGCAATACGCGCGTGTTGATGCTGGCTCTCTGGCTTTTATCGACGACTGGCCTACTGGGAAGCTCCATACCATTTATGTACGGCAGAAGCTGTCCATACCACCTGATTTCACGACTACCGAGTTCAAAAGCTTTCATATACGACGTCGAGTTTCTAGCCACACCACGCCAACAGTTCGGATAATCAGTGTCACGCCTCGTAATTCCTGGGACGAAGCCACTCACGAGCTACGGATCCCAGACAATGTCACCGAATTCTGGGGGGCTGTTCTACTCCGAGTCCAATCAGCAGCGTATGCGCATTCTCTAAGCTTCCCCGTCGCTTTCGGCTTCAACCGGTCTACTTGTCATTACTGGTGTAAAGCCATTTCGGACTTTGACCCTTCGCAAGACGGCCAGGCCAGTGGTACCTGGCCGCAAGCGGTAAAAAGGAGGATACCAGATGAAGTGTATGACCCATGGCTAGGGAATGGCGCGCGAAATGATATGTTTTTGGTGCGTGATAGCGGGCTGGCTATCAACGTTGGCATCAAGGCAGGGTTGTGCGGCGATAGCATTGCATTGCAGGTACACATCGATGGACTTGTTAGATGGGCATGAGATGAAGCCCAAACTTAAACACCTAGTTGAGTTACGCTGCTTGAGTCCCCTGCTGTTGTGCCATACATATGTGACGATGTTCTGTTGGATGGCAGATGTTGTATGCAGGGAAGGTGTTTAATGTCAATTTTGTCCCAAAAATGCGCAAATCTTACATAGTATATGACATTCTCTTCCCCCGCGGCTTGGTACTTCTCTTTGTCCGATTAGTTCGCTTGCCCCACTTGTAAGAGCCAGTCATTCGGTTCGGCTGCCCTGCCATGGCCGTCCATACCCACCAAAATCCTGCCAACTTCTCTCCTGGCTTGCCAATGTCTGGTGTGCTCACATTATATTGTGTTCACTGCTCTAAAAGCTCATCAAAGGACAGATGGCCGAGCGGTTAAGGCGCTAGCTTCAGGTGCTAGTAGAGAAATCTGCGTGGGTTCGAATCCCACTCTGTTCAACATTCTTTTTGCATGTGTGGTTCAGTCGAATGCTGCGCTCAACACCTTTTTTGCACATGTAATAGTGGCTGGGCGATGCTGTACCATTTTGCTACTCTGGTGGGCTAGATGCGGTCCGTGCGTGCAAACCACGCGACAGCGGGAGCGGGGCAGACACGCGATTTCATGATCCCAGGGTTCAGGCTTGGCGTCATCTCATCTCTCTATCACGCGTTGCGCCTGGGGAAGCACCAATATAGTCGTGTCTTCGTCTTCTTAACCATTATGGTCATGTCGCAAGTACGCCTCGCGCCAATTTGTCTGCCATCCGCTGCTACAGGCATGGGACGGATCTCTCAGGCAAGAGCAGCTACCCAAGCCGGTACGGGAAGGTGGACTTGGCCAGGATCGTATGCGCCTCATGCACTTGCGGCACATGCCTCCTCTAGTATGACCGTCACAGCAGCCGACAAGAAGCCTTGAATGGTCTTACTTATCGATCCTATATGCATACCGCATTATTTCTAACAGTAGCTCGCGCGCAGAGCTGCTCCATGAACTGCTTACGCGTCGCATAGCACCAAGTCCTCCCGAGGTCATTCAGCGCAACACCCAGCTGAGCATCAGGGCTTCCTAGGCTTCGCAATGGGGTCGCTGCGTGTCGCGTCGCTTTTGCGACTATGTTTATCGCTTCTACTGCTTCAATTCGCGTTTGCGACCAGCTCAATCGCTAGCAATGCGAGATCGCCAACTGCACAAGGTATGACTGAGAGATACTTTCCCCTCAAAGACCTCTCACTGACATGTCGCAGAAGCAGATCAACCGGTCTACGAGCCCGAGAATCAAAATGTCGTCCGCCTGCTTTCGTCGCCAGCCTCGTCTACATCCTTCCCCGATTCGTCCCAGACATCATCGAACGACCTCCCTACCAGCACAGCCAGCTACTCGCTCGCCGAGACCAACATCCTTCATGATCTCCACTCCGCCCTATCTACAATGCAAGACCACTACTTCTCAGTATGGCTCGGCAAATACACAACAGCGATAGATTGGACAGCAGCCGTCATGTCGACCTACGTTTCAGCTACCCTCTCGTCGCTCTCCCACTCGCTTGCCTACACAATGCCAGGCACATTTGACAAAAGCCGGAAAATGGACGTCGAGGCACAAATGGTGGAGAATGAGATCAACAAGTACTTTGCGCAAACCACTGCATACTACTTTGGTGAGGATCACTTTGCAATAAGGATGCAGGCATTTGACGATATGCTTTGGGTGGTCTTGGGCTGGCTGGAAGCAAGCGGTTTCGTCGAGAGCCATTCCGCTGAACACTACACGTCTGACAAGGTCGGAGCAAACGAATGGCATGCCAGACAGTTCGTCCCTGCTTTCGCCCACCGAGCACGCGTGTTCTACGAGTTGGCGGAGAAGGGATGGGACTGGAGGCTCTGCGGGGGCGGCATGACTTGGAACCCGCGTCTGTTGCCGTACAAGAACGCCATTACTAACCAGCTCTTCATCTCGGCGAGTATCAGCATGTACTTGCACTTTCCAGGCGACGACAACTGTTCACCGTTCCTTTCGCAGCACGACAAGGTTGGTCTACAGCAAGACCAGTTGTTTGATGACTGCGACGAGGGGCACCGTGGACGCTACGATCCTGTTTACCTTGCGAACGCGATGAATGCATACGAGTGGCTGAACAATATTGGCATGACGAACGACCAGGGGCTTTACGTTGACGGCTTCCACATCGGGGGTTACCGCACGAATCATAGCAAGACGACATGCGACGAGCGGAACGAAATGGTGTACACCTACAATCAAGGTGTCCTTCTGTCCGGACTTCGCGGGCTGTGGGAAGCTACCGGCAAGACCTCATATCTGGAAGATGGCCATGAGCTCATCAGGAACGTCATACGTGCCACAGGCTGGAAGAAGTCTCAACCTCATCGAAGCAATGGCCCAGAAGACGAAAAGGAAGCACTGCCCACTGATTGGGCAGGCCTGGGTTCCAATGGTATCCTAACAGAGTTCTGCGACCCCTCTGGGCGCTGCAGTCAAGATGGCCAGACATTCAAAGGCATATTCTTCCACCACCTAACGTCCTTCTGCGAACCTCTTCCATCTCGACCAGCTAGACCAGGGAAAACCCATGCAGCACCCAAAGAGTTGATCATGTTACACGCAAACAGCTGCAGAGAATACACCGCATGGGTCGTCCACAACGCCCAAGCCGCCCTCCGAACGCGCGACCAAGACGGCCGATTCGGCGCATGGTGGGGCGCACCAAAGCTCTCATCTCCATCTGCCTCCTTCCACGGTAACAGGAAATCGGCGTCTCATTCCCACCCAGTTCTCCCAGAGAACGCAGTAGACTACCGCAACGTCTACCCAGACCCCTCGGATGGCGACTACCTAGAAGACGACCTCAAAGAGCCCTTCAAGCGGTACGTCTTTGACGGGAATGACGGAGACGAAACGGCCAAGAGAAGCCCAAGCGATCTCAACGACCGAGGACGCGGACGCACAATCGAGACCCAAGGCAGCGGTCTCGCAGTTGTGCGAGCAATGTGGGAGTTTCTCCGTCGGGTAGAAGGCGCAGATGGGTATTTGGTGTGAGTGAGATCAACGATGGAATCGTTACTCATCACCCATCATCCACCACAACCCACACCACAAACCCATCAAGACTCCAACTGCGTCATTGACATGTTAAAACCAGAACCACCGCCCCATCTTTCCCACAACACTCAAGCTCCGCTCCCCTCTCCCGCCCCAACACCATCGGCAGGATACGCAGAGAACGGCATGAGATTGCGCAGAAACTGCCGCCGGCAGCGAGGTAGCTACTCAGTGTCGTGGAACTGTATGTGCACATGGAAGTGTGCTGTCTGACGGGAGGGGAGGCGTGCTGTTGGTTGATGGGGCTGGAGCTCTTTTTTGGAGAAGGGGAGCATTGGTAATAGGAGAGAGGTGTGTATGCTGAAGGTGCTACTGTTGAACGAGAGATGTGGTTGGATTCGGTATGAGGGAAGCGGGTAGATGGGTGTTGGATTGTTGCGGAATCGATGGATGGGCGTGGAATATGCCAGATTGGAAAGCAGTTTGCAGTAGAGAACTAGACTTGCGCTGGGTTAGACGCTAGGCTTGGAAACGGCTTTGCATAGCTACTAGTTTTACCGTCCATTCTTTCCATCTTCGCCCACGATAGTATCCGTGAATATTCATCACTATCTACTCAAATTCTAGCACAACCTTCCGCACACTCTTCCGCCCTCAATACTCATATGCGCCTCTCTCACCCCTTCCTCCACAAACCCCAACTTCCGCCTATAATGACACCTCACGACCTTAAGGAATGCGTAGCTCGTATCATACCACGAGGCGTCTGCACCACGAGAATCACGAAGCCACTGGTCTACGTAAGACCAGAATGTCGTGTAGCACGCGAAATAGTATAACTTGCCTGCTCGCACTCACCAGATCTTCTTTCTTTCATCTCCATCCCTAACTCACAGCCACAACATCATTCGCCATGAAGAACACTATCCTGAGCTTTCTTCTAGTGGGAATGCACACTCGCCTTGGTAGTGGTATGCCTCAACACGTTCTCGCAGGCACCGACAAACGTCTCTCGCTCCGCCCAGAGCAACTCAGCGTCACGATCAACATCGCGTACTCCCCATTCCATGATTCATCAGCGGGACACTGTGTTACAGAAGACTTTGGCTGCGAACAAGGCTATTGCTGGAGAAAGGTTAGTTTAATTTCATCTTCTTCAAAGGGAAGTTCATGTCTTCGAGATGCTGATACATGCGTTAGTGTACGTGTGCTGGAGATTGGTGCTGGGGAAGAGATTCCAATGGCAACTCTGCCTTGTGTAAGACTGCTGCTGATTGCCCGGTGGTTGCAGTTGCGTGCCCGGTCAATGGCTGCCCTGATGGCTGTGCTGATAAGTGATGAGCTGCTCAGTTTATGCTATCTTGATCTATGACTGGGCCTCTTGCCTGCTGTCTGGCTGGTCCTTCTTTTTGGTTTACAGGATTGCGAGGGGTTCATTAACTAGTCTTGAGTATGAAACTGTATGATCAACTTACTGTGTCTTCTTTCTTTTTATCCACTATCTCGATCTTATCCACGAATGCACACGACCAATCGACCAAGACCATCTCTTGATTCAGTCGCTAGTAGGGCTTAGTGTTTCATTGCGGGCCAGTCATCCTTCTTACTCGAAGATGAACAGTCGGTGTTGTTCGGGTGCTACAAATCGCCTCACCACAACGGCGGTAAACTCATGCATGTACTACACAGCCACGGTTCGACAGATCGGATATCTCTCCATTGATATATCGGTGCTAGCACGCACAACGCTAGCTATGAGATCGTGGACTCGTGTACGGCAGCGTAGTCAACCGCTGGTCTCATTGCATTGGGAGACTCTAACGTCCACTATTACGTACATCCAAAGAGTTCGGCCATGATGTTGATAGCTGCGCCACTAAGCTACGTTTTCCTGTACGATTGAAGGTTTACGATGACATGACCTAAAGCGGTTAGCGCAGAAGCCAACGAAGCAGACGCGGTGCTCAGCTTCGACTCCCAAGCGGCAAGTACATCTGACATGACAGTAGGAAAACCACATCAACACGTATTTACCAACAATGACCACTGCAGACCAAGCATGCGTACCGGCATATACCAAGCACTTCATTCCTCTCGAGTCAAATCCAGACGTCTTCACCGAGCTCGCGCATAAGCTCGGCCTATCCACCTCATTGGTCTTCGAGGATGTGCTCTCTTTGGAAGACCCAGAACTGCTTGGCTTTCTTCCGCGTCCCGCCTTTGCGTTGATACTGGTGTTTCCGACGACAGACGATTATGAAAAGCGTGTTCAGGACGAGGACGCTACGCTTGAGGAGTTTCGAAGCTCTGGAGGTGCTGGTGACGTGATCTTCTTTAAGCAGACCATCAACAATGCATGCGGTCTGTATGCGATCTTGCATGCCGTGTGTAATGGCGAGGCACGACGAGATATTAGTATGATAGCCATGACCCCAATGGAAAATACTACTGACATCGGTCAGACAGTGACTCGATCGTTGCTCAATTGTTGGACTCCAGTCTGACGCCAGATTCAGACGAGCTGGCGAAGGCATTGGAAAAGAACGACGGGCTCGAACGGGCATATGCTGGAGTAGCAAGCATGGGAGATACTGAAGCGCCCCTCAACGCGGAAGACGAGGTGGACTACCATTACATCGCCTTTGTCAAGTCGTCCGAAGACAACCATCTATACCAACTTGACGGCGACCGCAAGCGTCCAATAGACCTTGGGCCGCTCACAACAGATGAAGACGTTCTAACTGAGAAATGCCTTGGCGTTATTCGCGGTATGATGGCAAGCGAAGACGAGAACCCCAACTTCAGCCTGATGGCTCTGGTGGAGCAAGCAGATATGTAGGTAGCCAAGGAGTCACACTCTTCGTAGGATTTCTCCGAAGAGCGAGGAAGTGTGAACTATGAAGGACCTTTGTATTTGTTCTTGCAACGGACTTCGTCAGACGAAGAATGCACATACTGAAGTACAGCCGCATACACCACAGCTGAGCAAGACGCAAAGCTGTGGGATGCTCCCCCGAAAGGGACTCGTAAAAGTGTCGGAGACTCAAGTGGCTGGTGTGCGGGTTGCGTCCTACAATGGATATGTGTAATACAACGACGTTGGGCGATATCGATTTGTCCTCGTATCAGAGGCTGACGATGTCTGTCATTGTGATGTTGTAGGTGAAAGTGGGTGAACGGGAAGAAAAGTTGAGATGTTCGCCGCATGGACCACCGCGCTAGGCTAGCTCTCGAGGAACCGCGAGCCCTGAGCTTCACTTCGACCGACCGCGAGCGCGACCACGCCTTCCCCACTTGCCTCCTACCAATCGCAAACATGACGAAGAAACGCAGAAGATATCCGGATTTGAACCAGAAGCTCGAGGTACGATATGCGCATCCAAATCGCATACAGCGCCCATACTGACATCTGCAGCGACCATGGTGTTACTACTGCGAGCGCGACTTCGACGACCTGAAGATTCTCATCTCTCACCAAAAGGCCAAACATTTCAAATGCGACCGCTGTGGAAGACGGTTAAATACTGCCGGAGGTACGCACCGCTCGAATCAACTCCGCGCACTGGATCTGCAATGCTAACAGCTTCTCAGGTCTCTCCGTGCACATGAACCAAGTCCACAAGGAGACGCTCACCCACGTTGAAAATGCCAATCCCGGCCGTCAAGGTCTCGAGTTGGAGATCTTCGGTATGGAAGGTGTCCCCGCCGAGATAATAGACCAGCACAACCAGCAAGTCACACAAGCACATTTCGCCGAGGAGCAAGAGCGCGCACGAATTACCGGTAACCCCATGCGTGGAGCGTACGTCAACGGCCAAGCTGCGCCGAATAAGAGACCGAAGATCAACGAGAGTCTGGAGGAGATTGAGAAGAGGGCGGCCCAGTTCAGGGAAGATCGAAAGAACGGCGTTCTACCCGCGCCTGTGGAGCCAGTACAAACTGCTGTATGTATTCGAGATTCTGGACACGGAAAGGATACGGGACTGACATATCCACAGACACCACCAGTTGCTCAGACACCGTACGGCGTACCCCCCCCTGGCGCTCCCGTGGCCTTCCCACCCGGTGCGCCCGCATACCCTCCTCAAGGCGTCCCGCAACCCTTTTCGCCCGCCAACGGTGGCATGCCCCCACGGCCTGGCAGCATACCCGGCCAACCTGGCGCGTTACCTCCTCGACCTGGTTTCGGTGCTCCACCACCTGGTGCATACCCGCCGGGCCAGAACGGCGACATATCCAACTCTGTCGACGATTTGATCAACGAAGTGACCAAAGAGGCCGCGCCAAAAGAAGAGAAGAAGAGCAAAAAGGACAAGAACCAGCGCCTCATCTTCTTCGCCGAGACAACGAGTCCCGAAGAGAAGATGGCAGCGCTGCCGAGGTTTGCGGATTTCATGCGGACATGATAAGATAATGGGCGGTTTGCTGTGTATAACGAGAGAAGGCCAAGTTGCGACTATGCACGTTGGCATTTATGCTGTGGAGCCTTGAGGCCAGCGCAAGGGCAACAGCCGACAGATGCTACACGACGCAGGACGGACCGCATCAATCAAGGCGTTGCGGCGCGAAAGACTCTGGCTTTGCATGTGATATCTAGCTATGAGCGATCACCTCATCAAACGATTGAGATCAAAAAGTCGGAATCAACAATGGACTGGTCTCAGATAGCTCAACGACACTTGATAGCATAGCACAATGGAACGAACCAAGCTTGAGAAATCAGGGTATCTTGCAATTCAACGCATCCAGTAATTATACAACAATCGTGTAGCCCCGCCCCAGTCCAGCCAAACCAATTCTTCCAAACCTTATCGTCGGTCGTAAAAGCCCGACTGATCACCCTCCTCTTCCTCTTCACTATCTTCAGTGTATTCCTCACTCCGCTCATCGTCGCTGCTTCGATCCTCACTAGCACGCGCCCACTCCGAACTCTCCGTGAACAACGATTCTCCGAGATCCAGACCGCGCGTGTGCGTCGTGCCCGTGATACCCTCCTC